ACAACACTATACAATACTGCATTTGTAATAGTATTAATTATAGAATCAACGATACTAAAATAGACATCAGGACAACACTATACAATACTAGCATTTGGTATAGATTAATTATAGATCAACGATCTAAAATAGCATCAGGACAACACTATACAATACTGCATTTTGGATAGATTAATTATAGATCAACGATCTAAAATAGCATCAGGACTTACAACGCTAGAAACCGAGTTTCGATACCCTTGGTGAGCAGAGCACAGATAGCCCATTGTGTATCTTTGTGCTTAACTACAAACAACAACAACAACAACTTATAAATCAATCATCAATCTAGAATTGGTTTCTGCCAAAGCATAACATCAGCAAAGCAACAAGATAATGTAAATGAACAAATAGGGCATTTATACAGCGTGGTTTAATATACATGACTTTTAATGCAACAAGACCAAAGTATGAAAATAAGGAAGAGTCGTCTCATTAAACACTTACTCTATGAAAAGCAACAAATCTATTAGTTTGGAATAGTGCAGGTATCTTCAGGTACAGCGTAACTGTAGACAAATGAAGAAATATTGTGATATACCCGACCTTGTGGACCCGTTAGCTCGTGGAATTTATCACTGTCGTATTCTCCACACAAACCACACTGTTTGCCAATATAGTATCTTGAAAGCTAAAAAAGAAAAAGAAAATAGCATGTTTCACTAATGATTTTAAACATTTTGAATATAAAACTGTAAACAGATTTTATTTCTCGTAAGATGTATTATTAAGTTTGTGTGTTGGTTTATTTTTAAGTGGTCCCCCGGTTGGACAGCAGTAAGTCTTCGGATTTACAAGGCTAAAATCAGAGGCTTGATTCCCCTCGGTGGACACAGCAGATAGCCCGATGTGGCTTTGTTATATACAAAAACGCACACACATACACATTATCTTTAAGTGTAAGGTTACACAATTGACTAGTTGCGTTATGCCCATTGCTGCTACAGAAACCCAATTTTTAGCGTTATAAGGCTCTAAAGCTTATCGCTAGGCCACCGTAGGTGGGAATACACCTTACGAATGTTATACCATCATTTATTCTGTATATTAACATAGTAATAAATAACTAATAGCGTGTGTAATCTGACGGTTTAGATGAATTCAGTAAGTGTGATTACACATATAATGCCCGCCCCCTGGCACAGTGGTACGTCTGCGGACTTACAACGCTAGAAATCGGGTTTCGATACCCGTGTTGTGCAAAGCAAAGATAGCCCAATGTGTAGCTTTGTGCTTAACTACAAACAAATACACATACAAAACGTATTTGTAGTGACTGAGCGGAACGCCTGAAGGCTTATAGCGCTAAAGTCCGGGTTTCAATACCAGTAGTGGTCACAGTACAAATACCCCATTGTATAGCTTTGTGCTTAATTACAAATAAACAAACAGAAATAACGTTTCAATTTCATTAATAAATAATACAAATATAGAAAAGTAACTCGCATACAAACTAATATTGAGTCGTAATAGTGCATCACACAAATTCGATCGTTTCAATTAACTCGCACTTGACGCATTTACTGATGTTTTTTTTCTTTTTTCGTTTTATTGAAAAGTTACTCTGTATCTGATACGAGAAAATATCATACAAACCTCAATCTGGATAGCGTTGCCATCACAATAGACAGTGATACCATATCTGTCCGAGTGAAAGGTATAGTAGAAACCATTATAAGAAATGTAGTACAGTTCCTCCCTACGGCCGCCTTCGAAAACATATTCAAAAAAAGGCTTCTCTTCAGTGACGAAAACTCGTTCATAGTTAACACGGACTATCAAGCCCGAGTTAGCAGACACTGATAAGACTTCTATCTTATAGTCATGAAAGAACATCTTCATTGCCTGAAAAAAAGAAAGTAAAAAAGACAAGTTATTTATCTGGTGAGTTGTATCTATACTGATAAATCTCCATAATGTCTTAACGTTTTATAATCTTAATCTATCGGCAACAGGGTAAAGGACTTTGAAGTTGAAATGCACAGCATATATAACACCCATAACGTTACAACACCAGCTTATCAGACTTATAAACCTACAATAGTTCAAATAGGAAATTATCAACCACTCGATAAGTCTGCAACAATGAGAATAGCAGATCATGAAACAAAATAGTAAACCTACAATAGTACGAACATCAAATCATCACTCAAAGACGATAAGTCTGCAACAATTAAGATAGTACACAATCTCTCAGCGACGATAAGTCTGCAACAATGCGAATAGCAGATCATGAACAAAATAATAAACCTACAATAGTTCGAACATTAAATCATCACTCAAAGACGATAAGTCTGCAACAATTAAGATAGTACACAATCTCTCAGCGACGATAAGTCTGCAACAATGAAGATAGTACGTTATTATAAAACAAAAATTTGCAAGAGTTCGGATAATATGTCATTAACTCAAAAATCTTACCTTTGCAGTATAAATCGTACCTCCTGCAAAACATTAAATATTGAGAGTTCGAATGATGCAGCCATTAGAACAATGAATCACAGTGAATTTGCACATTACTTCTCACAACACAATAATCATAAGAATTTAAATGACTCGTTGAAAAAAAAGTCTGTGTTCAAACAAAACACATAACAGAGCAATATAAATTATACACGACTTTAATAAATTCATGTAGAAGAACAACGAATCAAGTGGTTTAAATGCCACACCCATGAAAGCAGTAAGTCATAATGAGTTTAAACAACACATATAATAAAACAATAAATAATAGTAGGCTTAAATAGCATGCTTTACAAGACAATAAATCATAATAGACTAAACAGTACACCTTACTTAATAGTTTATCTACGACAAAGCAAAATACTTATGAATACAAATAAACAATTAATTGAAACAAATACAACTTGATCTTGCCAATATTTAACTTTTAATATCTCACCTAGTTTTGACAACGTGATACTTACCATAGTATATTTTGGGTTTGACGTATGGGCACCAAGAATGACGAAGCTGCTCGGTTCCGAGCAGTCTCTAGCCACAATACGGTAGCAGTCACTGACAGTACAAGGAAACTCGTAAGTGACTTTGTCAAACGTTAGCACTCTGCTAGCTGTCACACGGCAAAATGCTGAAGAGATAACGTAGATTTTTTTACCTGCTTATTAGGAATAGCTATAAAACTACTATTACAGCACCCGTTACCCAACTATTAGTGCCGTTTTTTATAAAACTTAGACAATCCATGTCAGTGACTTGAAAATCTCTTCATTAGAACAACGTTTCGCCCTGATGACGGCTGCAATAGAACAGTCGAAACTTCTATTTAACTAATGAAGACTTTACGTCACTGACGTGCATTGGCTAAGCCTTAAACAAAACCTCTTCTGGAATCGCGAAGAATAAAATGATATTAATTCTATTATTATTCAGAACAGATCTTGTAACGTAAAACTGGAAATGCTACACTGAAAACTGTAGAATAACATCAAGAATTATGTACACACACACACACACATATATATATATATGTATGTGTGTGTAAACTATGTTCTATCACTGTATTTCTTGCCAAGAATACAAAAATTTCACGATACTTTAGTCGGTGTGGTTGGAAACTTTAGAGTAATCACATTGAGCATTTCCAAGTATAATGAAACGTTCAACAATAACGTGATAATCGAGGCGTTATCATACATTGTTTATTAATCAAAATAAAGCTGCAGCTTTAATTCAGTATTTAATGTTAATGCAAATTGACAGTAAATATAGTTATAACGTTTAATGCTATGAGTGATATAAATAAATATGGTGATAACTTTTAATGCTATGAGTGATTTAAATAAATATGGTGATAACTTTTAATGCTATGAGTGATATAAATAAATATGGTGATAACTTTTAATGCTATGAGTGATATAAATGAATATGGTTATAACTTTTAATGCTGTGAGTAATATAAATAAAAATGGTTATACCTTTTAATGCCATGAGTGATATAAATAAATATGGTGATAACTTTTAATGCTTTGAGTGATATAAATAAATATGGTGATAACTTTTAATGCTATGATTGTTATAAAATAATAGTATGTATGACATTTGCAATAGAACAAGAGGCAACTTACAGTTTTTAAAGTAATGAGAATATTCTTGTAGATAGGAGTAGTCGAAAGCAGGAAAAGCGTTAAGTGGACGAACATCAGCAGGGATTTGAGCATGCGTGAAGAAGGTTTGTTCATGAGGTTTGTAGAAACGTATGTCCACTGTCGGAGTTAACATGGATAGGTTAGCCTCAAAATGAACGTGTTTTTCCTCGTGATTCACATTGCAGTCATTGTTTTCCATATACGGGAAGAGGAAGTATTTTAGGAGGTAATCTGCTTTGTGAGTTAGGTTTCCGACATTGTCTGGAATCTGAAAAGAAAAAACTAGAACTTGCTTTATGGGCAATAAGGTATTATTCGTTTAGGCTGATAGCAATGTATTGGTACAATGGGTTTGATTAATATTATGATATGTTTTCTCAAACAGAATCTCATTTTGTATCTTATATTGGAATGACTTAATTTTTTACTTTCATGCGTCAATAAGCTTTCTTTTTAGCTTAGAGGTCTAAATTTAAAATACAAATTCATTGATTTTATTAAGATCCTGAGAATAAGCATTTTTTTAAATTTCTTATCAAGCGATCTCCTTAAATATTTAAAACGTATAACATTAAGTTTGTAGATGCTAATATTGACTGATGATATTATTCACAGCAAAAAAATTATGAGTTATGGTTAAGAAAAAGCCAAACATAGCCTAGTTGTTAGCGTGTTGGGCTGCGGATCTGAAGATCCAAAATTTGAGCAATTAATTGTCTCTGAGCACACCCTGGACTTTCAGTTGTGTGGCAGTTAAAATTCTGACAGACACTCGATAGTCAATTAAGAGTAGCTGCACCATATCGAGTGCAGCTGACTGGTTGTAATTCATATGTCTAGTAATTCTAAACAAGAGATTATATCCAATATCCGACTTCTTAAAGGTCATTTAATCCATGTATCACATAAGGCACCATTGAGATTGAAAATACCTAAGGGGAAAAAAAAGAATCGCTATGCAAATTTAAAAGTCTCAGAATAAAAATACATGATTCCTGCAGTTGTTTTCATCATTGCTTTGTTAATAAGAAAACGATAATTTAATGTGTTGCAATGACGTCATCAAGCTTCACTTTCTTTATTGGTTGATTTTCAGATTTTAGGTTTTCTCAGATCCAGTAACATTTAATATATTTCTATTCTATTTTAAAGATTATTTTTTAAAATATTTCTTTGTTTTCTGGGTTTAGTGTCTATGGTCTGGTGGAGCAGTTGAAAACTTTTAGGTTTTATACTTTTATAACTGGAAAATAATATACCTCCTTTCATATATATTCAATTAAAATTTTCAAAGTTTTTCGTATAAATGTTCTATCGTCAATTCGCATTAATCTTCGCTTTGGGATAAGGTTACATACTATAGAGTTTATACTTGCTTAGCCATGATTTTGTGTAGTTGTTTCTCTGGTATATAAATCATACAAAAATGTGGAGTTGCCCTTGAATACGCAAAATGGAAATGAGTATTGAATTAAGGTTATGGGATAGTGCGTTAGGATTTTGGTCTGACTGGTCTTTCTTGTATAAAGAGCAGTTTGTAGACCATCACGTTATATATATTTAACTAGCGTCTTTCTAATGCAAGTGTTCAGGTCTTTCCATTAATATCTATCTTCACTTTATTATTTAAAATATACTTCCTTCGAATTGTTTTCTTTTTTTGTGGAACGTAAACTTTTCTGTGGTCTTTAATTGTATCTGATACAAAGTGAAATACATAGTGCACTTTAGCAAGCTTCTGATAAAGTAAATCTAAACTACAATGAACAAAACAAACCTTTCTTAACTATTAACTATACTTGTTTGATCACTGAATCAGAAGGTTAGGGCACTCGACTCACAATATGCGGATCGCGGGTTCGAATCCTATCATCGAAAATGCTAATTTCCTTCAGCCGTAGGGACATTATAATTTGACATTCTACCCTGCTATTCCTTGGTAAAAGAGTAGCACAAGAGTTGATGGTGGGTGATGCTGATTAACTGCCTTCCCTCTAGTGTATCACTTCAAAATTAGGGATGACGAGTGCGAAATTCAACAAATAAATCACTGAATGAGTCTACATTACAAACGTTCAGTGTTCAGGACCGTTTTCAATGCATGTGTGATACAAAGGTCTTTATAAAAAAAATCACATGAAATACATCAAGAGTTATATCACTTTTATTTTTATAGGGGACGGGGTCCTATGACCCACTCTTTATGTGAACCTGAATTGCCTCTGCTTGAACGTTGTTTAGTTTCACAGAGACAAGAAAATTTCGGATTCATCATTACAACCCATGTTAGTGTTCAAGATATACAATTCCTTCAGATGTGATATAGAAAATTACATTGTTTATATACTCTTTCGACTTTCTGAACAAGTCCAAGCAAAACACAGTTATTTTATATGGTGAAAATAAGATTTCTCCGTGCAGCGACCTTGACTTTGGAATTCATTCAGAAAGTCATCATGCTATATATCAGTATTTAAAATAATGATAGTAACAATGACAAAGCGTTTAAAACTAAAATTGACGATTTACGAAGCACTGATGCTACTGATTTCTCTAAATACCGAGTTAAGTCACAACTGATCCAGAACTTGATAGTACTAGCATAACTAACTATTAAACCAGATGTTGGTAACATCGTGATAAGTAACAAAATACCAACAAGTTCACAGTACCGATGTAAGTAACAATAGTTTTAGATACAGCTATTATTATGAACCCACGTTCACATAAACAAAAATAATATCAGATACGGTTAATATTATGAACCCACGTTTAAGTAACTAGCAACAGATTCAAACACGATTAATATTATGAAATCACGTTTACGTAAGTAACAACAGATTCTGATACTGTTTATGAACTCATGTACAAAAGTTTCAGATACGGTTAATATTATGAACTCACATTTTCGTATGCAACGTCTAAGATGACTTGCCTCAGTTGAGTAGCTAGTAAAACATAGTAGTAACAGTTTTCGTTGTATATGTGGTTGTTTATACGACCTTCTATACACTTTTGATAATAGTAAGCGTATGGATTGTTGTAGTCGTGGGTCAGTTTATGACGCTTTTGCTCCTCCAAATAGCGTTGCTCCTCCGTTCGATCGAAATGTCCTCTAAATGTTACCTATAGAATAATTAAAATATATTCGCACTCTCTATTTATTGATAGAAAATTATTTCAATCTGTTAAAACATGCTGTTACTGAACATTAAAAAAAGACAGGAAGGACACTTTCGATATTCTAACAAAACAGACATAGGTCAATGTTCATTTATTTATTACATACATAAGTTGATTTAGGTTAAATTCAGAAGTTTTTAAAAGTATTTTTGAGGTTTAATGCTTATCCTACTAATAATGAACAATTATATGCTGATTCTAATTAAAAACACCCTTTAAAGTTGTGAATCAAAAAAATTAAAACGAGCAATTTACGTGAATTGACACATAGTTAAAAGTTTATGTAATAAAACTTGGCGGTCTCAGTTTGAACTCTGACATTTAGGCTTAGGATTATTGTATTATATTACTTTATAATTAGTTCAACTGAAATACAGCACCAGTTCATAATTTAACCTCCAAATGATCTTGAGTATGATAAGAATAAGAGCAAATTTTTATGAGGATTCAGCTATATTTACTACAACTAAACTCTTCTTATATTTTTGGATATGAGTGATTCTAATATTTGTTTTGAATTGCTTGAAAACATACCAAAATAATGTTAAGAAATCAATCCAACTTTCATATCTATTGTAATTTTAATAATTTAAGTATTATACGTTTGATGTAAACTTTTTTAAATAGAAGTCGATAAAATACTAGTGTTCTTCAAATAAATTAAAAGTATATGCATTAGGAATGAGTAGAATGTTCACATCGGTGTTGTTAAAAGTTTTATATTATTAACACGTGTAAGCAGGCTTACTTTGGAGTTTGATTCACAGTCTCGTCCGAAGTGTAAGTCAGCGGTAAAGTTCACTTTATGGTCGAGGGTATGGGTATTCAATTCAAATAGAGGTTGAAAGTCATAGCGAGGATACTTCATGGAACCTTTCATACAAATCTAAAATACGAAGAATCAAGCATATTAGAAGAGCGCATCGTAAAAAAGTAATTAAGGTAATTGTTAATTTTCATTCATATTGGATACCTTACAGAAATCCCATGGTAATTACTTTTAGAAAAAATAAATTAATCGGATTAAAATTAATTTTGGTGAAATTAAAGATGTTATTAGTAAGAGCAAACGTTTACGTATCATTAGTACGTTTGAAAACAGTTGAGTATGTTGTTTCAAGAGTATTTTAGAAAGCGCAGATATTGTGGATTTGGCTTAAATATACTGCTCCTGCCTGTTTCTACGGTGGGAAGACGTTTCGGCTTCTATATTGAGGCCTTATTCAGGCCAAAGTCAAAGTTGTTGTTGTTGTTGTTGCTAATCGTCACCATATGTAGACTAGCGGCTCTGTGTGGTTTCGTTCTATTTCACCTGAAGAGTTGCTTTCTTATTCTTTTTTTGTACGGACTTGGGATTTAATATGAGGTGTTTGGAAATAGGCATTTTCCTTTCGCTCCTCTCATGGTTCTCCCGGAGTATGAATTTGACATTAATTCCAAAATTCCTGCCAAAGTAGACAGAAGGGTATTCATTCCCGAATTCCTACCGAAAGAAGAAAAAGAATGAACTTTGACTTCAATCTGAAGATGGCCTCAGTATGGAAGCTAAAACGTCGTCAGATACTGAAAAACAAGCAAGAGAAATCCAGTTATGCCAGATCTCTAAATATTGAATATATTTCATTTGAATGCTTGAAAATGATTGACTGAATCTAATTAATAGGCATGAACCACCGTAAACTGTTAAACTCATGAATAGAAAACTAAACACACTAACTAACTGAAAAAAGAAGGATGAAAAATACATCACTTTATATCAGAATCTTATAGAGAAAATGCTATTTTGGTATGAAACCATTTAGTGACCATTGATGGATATATATATATATATTTAAGACGAGTAAAAAGTTCCACACCTTGAAGTTCTCGCTTTCTTCAGAGTAGAAAGGTGTTCTATCGAAGTAGAAACTAAATTTATGATACAGATTGTCTCGGCTAAATGAATATGTCAGTTCGGAAATCAATTTTCGCTCTCGCTGACCATGGGCAGTAAGCTCCGCTTTCAAAATGTATGTGGATGACTTTCGGTCAGTGCGGGACTGGACATAGTTATCGTACTCATCAGCGTAGTTGTGGTATGTGGACGAAAAGTGTTTGTGATCAGGTAACTGAGCACCATGGTAATCATAACTGAAGACTGCTTCGAACTATAACACAAGAAACGTTGTACATATAAAGTCTACAAGTCAATCATATACAAAATAAGAAATCATAACATGTAATGAAACCCAAATAACTTTCTAAGAATTATAAGGTTTTATTTCAACTATTTCAACATACACACTTTATATTTTGTATAATTCTAGTCTAAAGTGTTGATTCTCAGTTCTCAGCACACATTACGTAAAATTCTCCAGAATATTGCTTCTCAGTTCTTTTTGGATCAATGCGCGAAAATAAGGTAAAATTCGTCGTCTTTTTTGCGTACTAAAGGTTTATGATATGAGGCAGCTGTTTATTACAAAGTTTATTCTTTATTGCACATATTCTTATTTATTTAGCAAAATAAAACTAATTAAAAGCAAGTTATACAGTTATCTTCATTTAATAACTAACTTAGGAACGAAAGCTAAATCGTAGTTTTGGTGTTGTCTTGAGCATTTGATTTACTTGGAAATGTTTCTTTTCTTTATTTAATCAAAACTTACGAAACGGTTTCTCTGCGTACCTTGTCTGTACGATCTCTAATGGGTGTTGTCATGGTAACGTGAACTTTGAATGGATTGTGATAAGGGTTTGCAATAAGGTGATACATATTTTCCAGAAAGGTTTTCTCTGTCAGAAACTTAAACCATGGTTCGGAATTTGACCAATGTTCTTTCGAGAATCCTTTGACATGGAAGCCTACACCCAAAAAGTCATCAAGGTAATCGGAGAGCTCAAACTAGAGTTAAAGAATAAAGAATCAATTTATATCAACAGTCGAGAAAACACTCTGTTTAAAAAAAAAAAAACTATATATAAAAAGATAAGTTTGGGTAAATTTTAATGTTCGTAATACAATATGAGCCCCAATGGGATTATTGATTGAAAATGTAGTACCTGAAAATTGCATTTAATAACTTAAAACTTCTAATGCAGAACAGGTAGTTGTATGGAAGGAAAATATTGTACCAATGACAGAGTATGAACGTAAAGTTCATTACACAGGCCTGAGAATTTAAACTTCATAAAAGTTTGGGTCATTTACACAACCTCTTGTTGCCATAGCGACAAATAAATAATATTGAAAAGGAAAAAAATAATGTCAAAGTGCACGCACAAACAAATACTATCCAGAAATGATACGCTATGCGGCCTGTTAACCGTTTATATACTAGCAGCGTGTTTCTCGTGGGTTCTAGAACGATCGATAAGACTCTCACGTCGCAATTGGTCTAGAGAAATCTATAGCCAGTGGTTATCAACATTTTAAACATAACAAAATGCCACCCGATTTCAGTGAAAATGATTTAGTAATGTAAAAGTACATATGACGTTTTGTGAAAAATCTATACCATCGCAGGCCTGTGTTATTAGTCTGAGTGTTGTGGGAAGCTTGTTTGTTATGAATTTCGCGCAAAGCTATACGAGGGTTATCTGCGCTAGCCGTCCCTAATTTAGCAGTGTAAGACTAGAGGGAAGGCAGCTAGTCATCACCACCCACCGCCAACTCCGGGGCTACTCTTTTACTAACGAATAGTTGGATTGACCGTCACATTATAACAATTGTGGGAAGAATAGGAAAGCTAAAGTATAACAACACAAATCAAGAAATTATAAAAAAGTTACTATTAGGATCCATATTTGATGGTGTTACATGACTGTTAAAGATTTAACCCTATTATGCGTTTTCTTTAACATTTACATCCTTAAATAACTCCATTCATTTATATTTTTTGTTAGAAATAAAGATAATAATCCTAGTCATCGTACTATGGTACAAACCTTATGCAAGTGGTTTTCATTATGTAATGGAACGATAGTATTTCCATGATCCGATGGCCGGTAATTCGAGTTGGAAGTAATGTAGGTGACAGGTATGAAATCGTAGTGAAAAATATCGTGGGGCGTTACTGGTGTGTATTTCACGTGAAACTTTCGGTTCGTGAGATCTACAGTGAAATTCACATTAAAGGGCAACGACAAGTAAGCCCGCGTGTTGATTCCAGCCCCAAAAGTCCCGTGTGAAAATGGAGCTGCTATTCCCAGAGTGATAAACGTGTTGAGATCATATCTATAACATACACATTGAAAGAATTTAAGGTTTAAAACAGCACAAAAATGTTCTGTAAACTTACACGTTAGTACAAAAATAGCATCAATTTATACCCTTTAATTTCATATTCTGTTTGTTTGTAGTTAAGCACAAAGCTTCATAATGGATCATTTCTCTTATGGTGACTTTATCCATTACTTTACTTTGTTAGACTTCCTTAGTTTTTTTTTCTATAGCCACTTGCCAATCTCAAGTGTAATTTTACCTTAGTATTTTCTATAGCCACTTGCCAATCTCAAGTGTAATTTTACCTTAGTATTTTCTATAGCCACTTACCAATGTCAAGTGTAACTTTTACCTTAGTATTTTCTATAGCCACTTACCAACGTCAAGTGTAATTTTACCTTAGATTTTTCTATAGCCACTTACCAACGTCAAGTGTAATTTTACTATTTTGTTACAGTTGATTTCAATCATTTCAAGTTGAAAAATAGTAAAAATGGACTTACACAAAGTGTCCGTCAAGGTTCAAATTCACCTCGGTAGGTGGCTTACGGTGCCTATCTTTGCTGAATAGTGATGGAGTCACGCTGAACTGGAAGTGGTTGTTGCGGTATTGCACGAAGCCGGGTGATTTATATTCAAACAACACAGGCAACCCGACCTCTGTCGGTAGAATATATAAAAAGTCTAACTCCACGAAGAAACGTTTTAAACGGAAGCAGCCCACACTTTTAAGGATCTTCTCAATGTCTGGTATTTCAATGTAACCTTAATGATAAGAAAGTATATGCCTTAAGGCTAGTTATGTAAACCTTGAAAGGTACATAAAAACTTTGACTTGAAAATCAACAACAAACAAAACACAAATATTATCTTCATTTGCGCCTTGGAAATTTCATTTTTGGTTTTGTACTATTTTTACCTTGAATCGTAGATATTAGAGCCTCTCTCGCCAGCTTGAAAAAGGCGTTCACACATAATATTAGTTGTTGAAAGATATGGCTTACAAGCCTTACATAAATAGTGTTCCGCCCACTATTGTGTTTGTTGTGTCCCAGCCAACCTAATGATCTCTGGGTAAATTTGGTTTGTTGGAATTTCTCGTAAAGCTACACGAAGGCTATCTGAGCTGGCTGTCCCTAATTTAACAGTGAAAGACTGGAGGGAAGGCAGCTAGTCATCACCACCCACCGCCAACTCTTGGGCTACTCTTTTGTCAACGAATACTGGGATTAACCGTCACATTATAACGCCCCCACGGCTGAAAGGACGAGCAGGTTTGATAGGACGGGGATTCGAACCCGCGACCCTCAGATTGCGAGTCAAGCGCCCTACCCACCCAGCCATCCTGGGCCCTCTGGATAAAGCGAAACGCGTCGTCGGCAATGGATATGGCAAACACAGTGTGGTTGGAATACTATTATTATACATTCTTGTAATCTTTGAAAATCCCTAGATAAAGAAAGCAGTTCTAAAAATATAATAGTAATTATACTAATGTATTGTGACAGTTATTAGTACTTAAAAGAAACTATTGTTTCTTAATCGTTAAAGAACGCACATCGTATTTGAGACTTCTACCTAAATAACAAGGATCCAGTCGAAAAGTTAAAAGTATTTGTTTGTTTGTTTTCAGAATTTCTGCGCAAAGACTAGAGGAAAGGCAATTATTAAACAGTATCCAAAATGTCCAGTATACTCTTGCTTGATCGAATAGTGGGATTTAACCATCACTCTTATAACGTACCTATGGCTCCAATATGCAGTACGTGTTTTTGTAGCAACGGGTCACAAACTATGAATCTTTAGATGTAGTTAAATGTAATTTGCTTATTTGAATAACAATGGATGAGAATAATCTATCTATTTATTTTCTAGAGAGGCCAGCTCTTGTTATTAACTGCTGTTAAAATGGTGGCTTAGCTATAGAACATTGGCTACCAATAATGAGCAAATAAAAGTTAAAACGTATAGATTCCTTTATCTATTTTGTTATTTCTAAAAGTTTGATTTTAAATGTGAATAGCTATAAGTAATTTTTCTTTTTCTTTTCACCAGTACTTACTCACCAGTAATTACTATTCAAACAAATAATTAATGCCATTAAATATATATCAAATAATTAATTATTTTAGATGTATTTATCATAAACTATAATACAATATTGCCTTTAACTAGTTGTGTAAAACCCTTAAACTTTTACAAGTATGTTTTTTTTTCATATATGTAAATACTAGTTATTTTATAATTTTAGAAAACAAAAGCACGTGTATTTTCAAATGAACGCAACAGCAGCAGAAAATCAGCAAACCATCTTACCACGACTATACAAATTGTCAAAAGTACTTTCGTTGAAGGTGAAAAACGTTATTTCACTGTTGAAAATCTTAATGAAGAAGTTACCATTCACAGGTTTTCTCTTTCGTGACTTGATATGCACCTGATAAAAGAAAAATAGTTTTTTCTGAAAACTTCAATAAGCACAGTTTAGATATTATAATTATTTACTTGCTTTTGAAAATTTGGTTTGCTTCTTGAGAAGTAACTGACAAATGTGTTTTTTTTTCTGCATATTGTAATTCGATAGAAAGTGCTTGTTTATTGTATTAACATTTTACCTTATAAAAGCAGAGTAAAAAGTTTACCATTTTATATTTATACCAACACAAATTTTGAAATCAATGTTTGAATCGTCTGAAAGTTTCATAGAAAGAGAAATCTACGCCAATACATTTTCTCAAGTCAACACGTTTGAAAAAACTCAAGTCAACATGTTTGAAAAACTGAAGTCAACATGTTTGAAAAAATAAGCAAGTTTCATAGAAAGACAAATTTAAACCAGTAAACTTTCTCAAGTCAATGTTTGAAAGCATATGCATGATTCACAAAAAGATATCCTAGGTGTCCCTGATATTCAACACAACGAATATCTTGCGGTGGGCACAACATAGATAGCCCATTGTGTAGTTTTGTGCTTAACGACAAATATACAAAGGAATATCTGATTCAAGTAGTTGAAATTAAACACAACTTGTAAAAGTTATCCGAACAGTTTGTAATATATAGGGAAATAACTGACAGTTGTTGTATTGGTTTTAATGTTATGTCTTCATTAAGTTAACAACTTTGATATTTAATTGTATCGTTTCACATTGTGTTTGTTTTAACGTCTCGAAGCTTTTTAGTGATATATAGTGTTGATATATCTAACAGTGACCAGTGTTGTCATATTCTTGAATGTTCTAGTTTTGTTTAATTTGATTTGATTTATCTTGTGACGTTCGGAGTTTGTAACTTGTTTCCTTGTTTGTCTGTAAGTCTCCTCAGCAGCAACGTAAAACAAGTCATAGTTGAAGTGATCTTAGTTATACTCTTCTTTCTGGAAACCTATAATGGCTAATCAAAGCATGTGTTGTAGTGGTTTCCAGCTCTATGGTATAATGATGATCATGTTTTACCAGCCTTAACGCTATAATAAATACTATGCATAGTATTTTTCTATTTGGAACTTTTATTTCAACAGTATTTATAATATTTATACTGTTTATTATTTATTTTTACCAAATTTAGTGTTATTTATTTTTTGTAAACCAAACTAGAACGCTTGACCAGGGGTCCTGGAAAAATACAATCAAAAGGGGGGGCCCTTCCCAAATATTAAAGAGGTGGGCGGGGCCACTGTGTTTGATTCAGTACATGTAGCGATATCTCAGCAAATAGAAAAGATAGGAGATTCTTATTTTATATTATAGCTTGTCAATATCGGTAATTTGACTTCTTAATTCGTAAGATTTGTTTAAACAAAATTGATTTATGAAGCGTTGGGGCCCATTACGCCTGGGGGCCCTGGGGAAAGTGCCTCTATGTTAATCCGCCACTGCGTTTGCCACATCTTCAAAAATTAAATTTTTACAGTTATAGTTTTGTGTATGTTTTAGCAAAACAAATCAGTGTGTTTTTCCATTTCTTATCACTATTTGATGAAGTACCCTTACAATATATTTCTGTCAGTTAAATTATTAGTTTAGCTTTTCCACCGTATTATTCAGTTTATGGGTTTTATAATTGATATTTCTCTGCTTTAATTATTATCCCGTATCTAATCACTTTTATATACAGTTTATGGGTTTTTATAATTGATATTTCTCTGCTTTAATTACTATCCCGTACCTAATCACTTTTATATACAGTTTATAGGTTTTTATAATTGATATTTCTCAGCTTTAATTATTATTCCGTATCTAATCACTTTTTAATATTACATTACCTCTACATATTTTGCATTTCTTTATATCAAGAGTTTGAATTCTTCGTTTTGTCTTAAGCATTATTACTTACTTTTTCGTTGATTTCTTTCAGCTCTTTGTTCATGGGGCTGATGTTACGATTGTTTCGTGGACGCCTGAAGACGTCGAATATTGACGGCATCCTTCGAAATAGACCTTCAGGTGCGAAAAGACTGTCAATCAAATTTTCTAGGCCTTCAGCTCGATATCCCATAGCTAAACTATCAAAAGACTGTCCACCCATATAATCATTGATCTGGATATAAGCCGATCTTGGGATAAAATTATCTTTGCCAGCAATATAAGCAAACTGCAAAGATTCACCGAAGTCGAACTTCTCTGGAAAAAACAAGCAAAACTCAGTTATAAATGTATATGTGTCAAAAAACGACACAAAGTAATTTGATAAAATATTAAACACATTTTGGAAGTATGTTTCTGTAAACGTTAAAAACCGGAAATATTTATCTTATTTCCTGGATATCTTATTGACTTTGATTTGTTTTTATACTGCAGTTTTATCTGTCAAAGTGTATTTTTCGCGTTTATTAAAATACATGTTAATTATTGTCAATCCGAGAACAATGCCCTCGTTTTACGTCACATGGTACAACCGTTGTATGTTTATAGGTAAACATTTGGTATAGTTTACTAAACAGAAGTACACAACATTTCCTCTAATAAACAGTTCTAACTAAAAAAGCTGGAATATTATCATGAACCATCATAGTTGTTTATAATAGGGATTTGTTCTAATAGAACATTCGGGCAAAAACCATCTTAAAAAACAGACTTATTCTTGAAACAACACTCAAAACCTCTCTTTTCAGCAGGTAAGACCACCCAAACATGGATAATAAGCAAAATAAGTTATTTCACAATTGTAGAGAAATTCAAAATTTGTCCATTTGTTCATATTATTATAGCCCCGGTGGCACAGCGATATGTCCATGGACTTACAACGCTAGAAACTCGACGCGTGTTAAATGCATGTTTACACGAACCCTCAGGTATAAAGCCACCTAACTCAGTAAATAATTACTTTAAAAAACCCAAAGCTTTATTTAAAGTGATGTTTTATACGTATTTGTTTTATTTGGAAAGGCTGCTTTTCTACCGGTAAAATGTTATACACTCTTAGTGGGGGTTGTGTCTTACTCTAGGCATATATATATTTGCCAGTTGGTGTGCATTAACAAAGTCAACATACAAGATAATGAAAAACTGAGAATTTAAAATCTACAAATAGGAAGTGCAAGAAAAGTAAGGAAACAAGGCTGACAGTTTACTCAAGCTATAAATCCCTATTATGACTCCACTATAAAATTATTATTATTGTAGTGTAGGATCATACAGAAATTTTGCACACAAAAAAGAGAGCAGTTTTAAACTTAATTCGATCTCCTTAGTTTTCTCGCGAAATTTTTTAAATCCTTCATTTTCTATCATAAAAAAATCTGCCGTTTTCTTAGCGTGCGCGTTAATTGGAAACTGCCACGTGAAAAGTTCCCGATTTTGCTGTTGCATATCTTTACACGAGTCGCTATTGTTCATCGTTACTCGAATTTACTGTCGTTATGTGGATTTCCACGATTATATTTCAGCTAATTTGTAACCGTGGACGATTACTACAGAAGATTTCCCTATTCAGACAACGGTGGTGATTCTTTCTACTGTTTCTTATACTTAGATGAAAACGTGAGTATGTAATCAATATTCATTACCACTGCATATAACATTATTTGACATAACTATTGCTATTTTTAAATGGTTTGTGTTAAGGTAGTGGTTGTAAATGTTGTCAGTAATTGCTTACGCTAAATGTGTCCCTGTTGTCCATTTTGTAGGCATTTTCTATGTCGCTTTATTCTCGCAAACACTTGTGCATAGCAGGCTGTTGAAAAACATACATATGTGTCATGTAGACCTAACAAGGTAAGCATGTTACTGCGACTGTTTACATTGCATTAATCTGTATTGTATTGTCTTAGAAGAAACGTTATTCCGTTATGATGAGATTGTTTTGTTGCTGCTCGTCTTTTGTTACATTACACTGTGACATTGATGTAAGCTGATCATTAAATCTGTGATGATACAATTTTTGCCTTCAAGTTGGTCCTTCACATTTGGTTGTTGTAGTTGCATACCAGTACATGTGTATATTCTTTTTTTTGTACATTTTTTATTTATTTTAAATAAGTTCAGTGTGGTGGTTGGGTGACAAAAATGCCAATGCAGCAGAAAACTGTTGAAAACGTGGAATATTCAACTGAACGCATATGCATTTATGTAGCTTAAAATTTATTATCCATAAATGGACATAAAACTTAAGAAACAAGATTAGTAAAAGATTTAATTTAAAAAGGGGGAATAGGGATCGTCAAAAAAGTTCAGAAACAAGTTGAATCAAAATGGAAAGATTATATCTTCAAGCCTACAACTAAGAACTCTAAAAAAAGCAAACAGACTAGGCTGAAAATAGTGTAAGATATTTACTCAGTTACACATTCTTATTTTGACTTCATTAAAATTGTTAAGTACTGAATACATGGAGTCAAAATAGGGATTTGTAGCTTGAGAAAATAATGACTGATTCGACTTGTTTCTGTCTTTTGATGACGATCCCTATGCTATCTTTTTAAATTAACAATTTTTACTAATCTTTTAATACTTCTGTAAAAATATTCTATTTTCATTTATTTAGAACTGAGCCATGATAAGGAATTGAACTTTTATCTTTTTGTTGACCACGAGTTTAAAATAAACAAGGTTTTAGATTGAAAATAATAATAATAATAATAATTTTAGTTTTCTTTTTTTTTAACACTGGTGTGATCACATGGATACTGATCAACACTATTTATGCTTCATGTATAAATATACTTTGTGTATCAAAATAATGGGCTGTAAGAGTGCTCCACTGCTGTGTAACATATTTTATTATCAGATTTTAACTTATTTTGCTAAAAGTTATGGCTTAACTTATTTTTCCACATATCACGACTGGTAGAAGATTTTTTGTTTTGTTCTTAGTACAGAAACTTGTGATAAACTTAAGTTTTCTGAGTTTCGCTCACAGTGGCTCAGCGTTATGTCTGCGAAATTATAACACAAAAACTGTTTTCGAATGCTGTGGTTGGCTCAGCATAGATAGCCGATTGTGTAGCACTGTACTTAATTACAACGAAACAAAGAAATTCCTGAGTGTTACGCGTAAGGTGTTACACAGTTAGCGAATATCCAAATAAAGAATAAATGCAACTTACTTAATGAAAACCTTATCTGAACAATAACTGTTATTAATCTAAATTAGGCGACTTCTGAACCATTTGGATTGAACACTTGCGGGGCTGTGTTAAAATTGTGTTCTGATTTTTGCTTTAGATCATTGGATTAGACACTTGCACTGTTGGCGTAAACTCGGGTTCGGGCTTTGCTTTGCGTTAGGTTACATATTTGACATTTTAATTTTGCAGGTATTAACGCGGCAATAGCATGTTGCTTACTGGGAAAAACACTAAACAGAGTTTACCAACGTGTTTACATTCCGTTCCCTACCGGTGGAGTCCACATGTTGACACTAAGCAACTTTATCAACGTGTTTACATTCCGTTCACTACCGGTGGAGTCCACATGTTGACATTAAGCAACTTTATCAACGTGTTTACATTCCGTTCACTACCGGTGGAGTCCACATCTTAACACTAAGTAACTTTATCAACGTGTTTACATTCCGTTTACTACCGGTGGAGTACACATGTTGAAACTAAGCAACTTTATCAACGTGTTTACATTCCGTTCACTACCGGTGGAGTCCACATCTTAACACTAAGCAACTTTATCAACGTGTTTACATTCCGTTCACTATCGGTAGAGTCCACATGTTGAAACTAAGCAACTTTATCAACGTGTTTACAATCCGCTCACTACCGGTGGAGTCTACATGTTACATCATATTGAGTAATTTCTATATTTTTAACACCATTCAGCGTAAAGAACTGACAAAACACTGAGTGAAATCACTCATCAGCAATTAGAGGGATTTATCGCAACCTTAATGGTATTTACAGTTACATTTCTTGTATGAGCCGCATGTTATTGGAGACCCAGTAACCAACAATTCTATGGACTCGTAAGCAATTTGGTGCTTATTTAACTTAGAAAAAATTTTTTAAAAACTATATATAGTTAAACCTGAAGTGTATTGTGTAAAAAACATTTTAGTTGAAGTTATTATATACATATAAATATATAAATTGTTGTTATTTTGAAACAACTATATGAAAGAATGAAGGTTTTCAAACTGAAAGTCATTTTCGAAACTTACTTTCATAGCCGACCTTGATAAAGTTATGTGAGAAGGTATAGTCGAACTCAGGATGATAATGGTGGTACTCTTCCAGGATCCTCAGAGATTGCCTCACATCGTTAGATCTACGAATATTGAACACGTTTTGGAATTAATCTATTTGAGCTGTAGTTTCAACACAAACGAAAATTGAAAATTACCTGCTACGTTGAAACAGTTATAGACATGATAAGGAATTTAATTTATATCTCTTTTGATAACCTCGAGCTTCAATGGAATGAAGTTTCAGTTTAAAAAACAACAATGATTTTAGTTTTTTTGTTTAGGCATTTTTGCAATTACATGGACACTGATTAACACTATTTATGCTTCACGTATAAGTATATATGGACATTGGGTGAAATGACCCAGCAATAATTAGTGGTAGTTATTGCAATATTAACGATATTTCTGTTTTCATTTCTTGTATGACCCGTACGTTATTATAGACCTAGTAATTAACAATATCATGGACCCGAAAGCAATTTGTTCCATAATCAGTTTAGAAAATTATAATTTACTGCATGGTAATTATAACATTATAATCATAAGCGTTAATTCATTTGAACTTAAGTAATGCCACGCAATTACACAGGCCTACGAATTTGAACTTCATAAAAGTTGTTTTGGTTTTAATAACGGATTTTCCATAATTCAGCTACGCAGATTTCGAAAATGATATTAATTCTTTTTCTATTGCATAAGGATTTTTTACAAATCGGGGAAGAAAAAAATTCTTACTTAGATC